GGGTTTGAACCGCAGCCTTCTGGTTAGCAGTCAGATGCCTTAGGCACTATGCTACCAGAGCTCCTTGTCCAGCGTTAGTATCGATTAATTACAAAATGCTTTTTGTTTTTATTAAGAGCTTATGTGTGTGTGGTGCTGTAGTACATACAATTAGGATTAAAGGAGTGGAGGATTGTCTGCTGTCAGGGATTTTGTAAATTAATCCTCTAACTTTTTAGAAGAGATGAGCACTATATACACAAAGTTGCTACAAAATATAAATTAAAGTATATAATCAGATAGGTTGAGAGAATATGTCAGTAGTAATAATTAAGTTGTATTTTGAACATGTTATCATGTATTGTTTTTTGTTATATTTAAGGGGAAAATTTAGATTTTATAATTCTCTTTTCAGACCATATTTTACATCCTTCCACGCCTTTCAGGCCTTATTGAAGATGAATGGATTGCCATTGATAAATTTACCAGATTCACTGACATTCCTTTAGATGCAGGATTTCAGTGGTACCTTTCTCAAACTCAACTTTGTGAATTAAAACCAGGTGATTGGTCTCAGCAGGACATAGGTAAACATAGTTTTTGTTTAATTTTTTATTTTCCTTTTATTGACTTGTTTGGGTTTATTGGTTTAAGTTAATTAGGATAGATGGTCAGTAATACCAGTTTTTCATTGATGTGGTGAATTCTGCTTCACCATTTAGAGAAAAGCTTATTGAAAAAAATGTGGTATAATTTTGACTGATATTTTACTTGAAAAGTTAGCTTTGCTATAAAAAGCCAAAAAGAGAACTTAACCTGCTTTACACAAAACTTCTCTTTCCTTTTAAATGTTATTGTTAATTAACATTCATTGCTTTCCTTCTGTATATTTGTATAGATTATAGATTCAAGGAAGTACACACTTATTGGCCACACAGGTTAAATTTAATGGGTAAAATTAGACAAGAGGGGAGTGTGATGTGAACAAAATGGCAGAGTAGGCAGCTCCAAACTCTTACTCCTCTACAGATACATCAAGAAAACAACCTAAAACTATCAGAATCAATTTTGTCAGACTCTGCAAAAGAGTCAAAGATGCAGAGCAACCAAGTGAATGCTGAGTCAAGAAAAAGGCAACTTAAAACAATAGGACAGTTTTGTGATACTTTATTTGCCCTTTATCCCTTTCCCTGTCTTGGTAACAGTCTTCAAGATGGAAGCCTGTGTTCCATTGTAGGACCTTGGTTCCTGGTTCTGGAAGAAGCAGAAAAAGCCTTATTTGCAAATAATTTTGTTTGTCTGTTCTAAGTATCTGAGTGCTACCTGAAGGACTAATGCAAGGCACTCATCTAAGTTTCATCTAACTCCGAACCCACTTAGGGTAGAGAAGTGGCAGGCATTGCTTGAAAACACTGAAAGGTGATTGAAAATCCCACACCTACCTAGGGCAAAAGATTAGAGCTGAAACACAATAAACTGCCTAAAGCTTCAGAGGAAAAGCCTGGAATAGAGTTTCTTTGGAAAATTAGGGCATTCCAAAGTGCTCGTGTATAATGAGGGATTTAGAAAGCCACATATATTTCTGTGACAAGCCATATGCTCAGAAAAGACTTGAAAAGACCCTAAGCTTTCACCACGGGCTGATCTTTTGGCCCAGTGCAAGCAGAAGGTAGTGACTGAGACAGAAATATAAATGGCCTGGCTAAGTTTCAAAGAAGTGACTTAGCACTGAGCCTTGTCTGCATAGACTAGGAGAGGTGTTATTTATTTTGAAAACTCCTGGCATTCAAGTAAACCACAGTCAAAACACTGGCTGAACAAGAGTGAAGTGTTCAGCAGTCAAGAACAGCAAACCCTTGGAAGGAGGAGAATCTGATTTCCTGAGTTACCACATTATAATACTTAAATGTCCAGTTTTCAACAGAAGTTCACAGGCATCTAAACTATGGCTCATTCAAAAGGGGAGGGGTCCGGGGAGAACAGAAACCATCCTTAAAGAAGCCCAGACATTTCACATACTAGACAAAGGGTTTAAATCAACTATCTGATATATACTGAATGAAAGAGCTAAGGAAACCACAGACAAAAAACAAAAGGAAACCAGAAAACAACATACGAACTAAATGAGAATCTCAGTAGAGAGAGAAATTATAAAAATTAATCAAATAGAAAATCTGGAGCTGAAAAATACAACTGAAATGAAAAATTCACTGGAAGGGTTTAATAGAAGATTTAAAGAGTCATAAGATGGAATTGGCAAACTTGAAGACAGGGCAATTGGATGTTAGCCAGTCTGAGAAGTGGAAAGGAAAAATAAAAATGAACAGGGCCTAAGGGATCTGTGGGATATCATCAAGTTGATTAACATACATATGGTAGCATAGTGCCTAAGGCACTTGACTGCTACCCAGAAGGCTGGCGGTTCAAACCCACCAGCCACTCCTCAGAAGGAAGGTTGAGCAATCTACTTCCATAGTGATACTGCTTTGGGAACCCAAGGAGGGGTCGCTATGAGTCGGGTCTGACTCGATGGCACATAACAACAACAACAGATGTAGAAGAGGGAAAGGGGCAGAAAGAATATTTGAAGAAATAATGGCCAAAATTTCCCTAAAAAGGCATTGAAAGTTTTTTGAGAAAATCTTCACTCTCCTTCCAGTTATAAAATCTAAACGGACATTTATCTTTTCTTTTCCTACCTGACTTTTCTGAGGTATTTATTTGCTAGTCTTTTGCTAGCTTGATTTTCTTCCTAAATTTCACTCTTCTCACTCTTCTTTAAGAGTTCTTCTTCTCCCATTTGCCCCTTATATTTGTAGTTCTCTGTTACTTTAATGTTTTCAAGAATCCCTTGGATAACTTCTTAAAAGTACAGATTCCTAGGTTTCACTCTTAGTTTCACTATCTGGAGAGAGGTTGTAGAAAAGTATATTTTAATTTAAGCACTCTAGATGGTGCATTCATACATTTTAAGACATACTGGCTTAAATTTATTTAATCATTCATTCAACAAATGTTTATTGATTGCCTCTTACATGGTAGGCATTAGACAAAGCTGCTACCCTGTGGAGCTTAGGTTCTTTTTCTTTTTTAAACATTTTGTGTTTTAGGTGGAAGTATATAGCACATTAGTTTTCCCAGTACATTAATCACATACAAATTGTTCTATGACATTGGTTGTAATCCTTGTATTGTATCATTTCAGTACCTTCCTTATTTCCTCCCTGGGTTCCCTGTTTCCCTGTTCTTCCCTATCTTCTCATCTTTGGTTTTGGGCAAATGTTGGACTGTTGGTCTCTTATAGTTGATGGTTCTGAGGAGCACATCCTTAACATTGTTTGCTTTATATTCCCATTGTTAGCTTATGTTCTTGTGGAGAAGATAATCATAAACATTTATAATATAATGTCAAGTAGTAAAAAGTACTATTTTAAAAAAACACACAAATCAAACCAAAGAGATAGTGCCAGAGAATGACCTTTTTAAGGCGTTGTCATTGAACAGAATCCTAAATGAAGTAAGAGAGCAAGTTAAGAAAGACCTAGGGGAAGAGCTTTCGAGGAATACCAAAATACCCAAACCAAACCCACTGCTATCCAGTCAATTCCGACTCATAGTAACCCCTACTGGGTTTCCGAGGTGGTAAATCTTTACGGAAGTAGATTGCCCAGTCTTCCTTCTACGGAGTGGCTGGTGGGTTTGAACCACCAACCTTCTGGTTAGCAGTCAAATGCCTTTGGCACTGCGCCACCTGAGCTCTTTTTTCCAGGAATAGTAAACAGCAAATGTGAAGATTTTTAGGCAGAAGAGCTGCTGACAATAGCCATTTTATTTGTGTGGTATGAGGAAAGCCTGACTAGAATGGGCTGAGTAGAGACTGGGAGAAGAGGAGATGGAGACAATATACACAGACAACTGTTTTGAGTTCAGCCATAGAATAGAGCAGAGAAATGAGGATGAGGAAAAGACTGGGGAGGTGTTTCTGTTTATTGCTTTGTTTTTTGATAAAGAGAGGGACAATCCAATAGACTTTTTTTTATGCTGATGTTTAAATGTTAGTATCCCCCAGAGTTTTTTCATTGATTTAATTTTCTTCTCAATCTGCATGTTCTTCTTGAATACTTTTATTAATTCCCACAACTTGAAATCCTTACCTATACAACTGTATCTTTCAAATCCTTATCTTTTGCCAAGGCTCTTTTCTGAGAGCCTTCTGGACATTTGCACCCAGATACTCCATAAGCTCTTTAACCTCAACATATTGAAACTGAATGGTGTCACTCTGTTATTATGGAGGTTATTCTTTTCCCTAGCCCATCTTGCATTGACATAATTTAGGCTCTTACTGTTTTTGCCTGGACTGGTACATGGTTTTCCAGCCCTAATATATTCTCCATATCACTTTGAAGAAGGATTTTGCTAAAACACAAAACCAGTACTGTTATTTTCCCTCTTAACATGTGACAAGGTTGTATCCTTTCACCTTACTTCTATCTGTATGGTAAAAAAATAATCCAAGAAGCTAGGCTATATGAAGATGGACGTGACATCAGGATTGGAGGAAGACTCAATAACAGCCTGCGAAATGTAGATGGCACAGTTTTGCTTCCTGACAGTAAAGACAGTTTGAAACACTTAGTGATGTGAAGGTCAAAGACTACATACAGCATTCGGTATGAATTGCAGCTGAATATGAAGAAGACTAAAATCATCAGACCTGGACTGAAAACATGGTAAATGGAGAACAAATTGAAGTTGTCAATGATTTCATTCTACTTGCATCAGTACTTACTATCTGTGGAAGCATTAGTCAGGAAATCACATGACATACTGCATTGGGCAACCTCTTCAAGGTTTAAAAAGCAAAGACGTCACTTTAATGACTAAAGTATACCTAACCCAAGCCATGGTCTTTTCACTTGCCTCATGTGCATGCAGAAAGTGGACAGTGAAAAATGAAGAGAGAAGGATTGATGCATTTGAATTGAAGAATATTGAATATACTGCAGATCACCAAAAGAACAAACAAATCAGTTTTAGAAAAAATACAACCAGAATGTTCCTTAGAAGCAAGTATGGCAAGACTTCATCTCACTTACTTTGGACATGTCATTAGGAAAGACCAATTGCCAGAAAAGGATACCATTTTTTGTAAAGTAGAGGGTCAGGAAAAGTGAGAGAAACACTCAGTGAGATGGATTGACACAGTGGACACAACAGTGGATACAGCAGTCATGAGCCTGGTGCAGATCTGGGCAACATTTTGCTCTATTACACATGAGGTTGCTGTGAGTCAGAGCTAAGTTGACAACAGTTAACAACAGCACTTACAGAATAAATTCTTTCATTGTTATATACAGTCTACTGATCCTATCTCCTTCCATTTCTACACCAAAGTCCTTGCCATTGCCTCATTATTATCCTTCCATATTCTGTCCTTGAACATATGCTGCATCTACTATCTGCATTGCCCTTCACCCACATAGTCTGTTTTTGCAAACTTTATCTTTCCTTCCCTTGATCCTTCCTGTGTCTATGTGGCCCTTCCTTCCCAAGCAGTAATAACTCATTTTCTGGGTGAGCTTACCCTTACCTTCACACTATGCTCTAATTATTTGCATGTCTAGGCTATCCCCACTAAACGTAGTGCTCCTTGTGGGCTGGGAATGTGTCTTATTTGTATAGGCAGTCAAGCATTGTTCAGTTAACAGTCTGGAGTGAGTCAAGTCCAGGAAGTATAGGATGGATTTTCTCTTAAGACAGTCTTAGTCCTGCATTATAAAGATCAAAACACTGTAATTACATAGGTTAATAAGATTATTTGTACTTACCAGATTAGTGAAGAAATAATTGCTATATAGACTATCCTTCCTGTTAGAAGTTTCCCTTGTACTTGTAAAATAATTTAAGATAAAATCATTTTTGTTTAAAATTTTTTTTTCAGGAATATCATATTTTTATAGTAAATCATAATCTTAACAGTCTACTGTTTATAACATATACCATTATTTCATATATCTATAAGAAAAAAAATGCTGCCAAACTATGATATTGATTCTAAGATACTTTCTAATTTCAGATACACAGAAATGTGAAAAAACTGTACATCTTAGATTTTCATGACATTATATTGGTTAATAGAACTGAACTTAAACATTTTAAAATTATTATCAAAAATGGCAAAAGTGTCAAAATCCAAGCAAAGTTCTTTAGTTAATGAGATGAATCTCATGCCAAACTATCATTTGAAACCAGGGCTACAAACCAGTTCTTCCCAGTTCAATAATGGCTGACGAAGTGAATTGTGAATTGACTGAATTTGTAAAATTTGTTGGTAACTAGGACAATAACAGAATGGGAAAAGTTACAGATTGACAATGCCCTGCTGGAAACTTAAATTCCCTCTTAGAAAACAAGGACAGTGTACATGTTGCGTAGCAACCAAACCTCTTAACAGGCATAGGCAGAAACAGCATTTCCCCACTCAAAGATGGAAACTGATTTTACCAGTTTGAATATGTGTCCTGGTAATAATCCAGTCTCCCACATCAAGCCCCTGACAGGGCTCACTGTGTCTCTTCTGAGTCTCCCATTCCAGGGCTTCTTCCTGTGATTTTTTCCATTACAGTTGGAAACGGTTTATACACACACACACACACACATCTGTGGATGGCACAGATGATTAAGTGCTTAACTACTAGCTAAAATGTTGGTGGTTTGAACTTATGCAGAGGCACCTCAGAGGACTGGTCTGGCGATCTGCTTTCAAAAAGTCAGTCTTGAAAACTGACTTGATTGCCTCTATGGGGCAATTCTTTACTTTGTATACTTCGGGTCACCATGAGTTGGAATCGACTCAGTAGCATCTAATCACAAATATATATATATATATATAATCACAAATATGTATCGACGACACATAACAACAACATTTTCTTCTTCCTTCTCAGGTTCTAACTCAGGTGAAGGAGATAACCAATCAGAATGGACTGATGTTCAGAAGAAGATTATCCCATGGAAAAATAATGTTCCAGATTTAGAACTGGAGCTAGAGTTTCAGGATCGTGCTGCCAAACTTGGAAAGTCAATTGGCAGACTGATTGTAGTGGGCTCACTCATTGACAAACCAACCAATTTAGGAGGTAAAATTATAGTTTTCCAGGAAACTTGCTTAAAATCTTTTTATCCTGAAAAATTTAATCAGTCCACTGCCATTTTTGGTGTTTTCCCTACATTTGGGAAGAACTGCAAAAGAATGTCTAGGGCATAATGAATTTAGCATTATTTTGAAAAACAATCTTAATTTCCATTTTGTTCTGTGTAGGATTATGCCGGACCTGTGAGATATTTGGGGCCTCAGTGCTTGTTGTTGGCAATCTTCATTATATCAGTGATAAACAGTTTCAGCACCTTAGTGTTTCAGCAGAACAATGGCTTCCTTTAGTGGAGGTGGGTGGAAAGTAACTTACTATATGTACTAAATTTTTTTGTAATATTCTATCTTCATATAGCAGTCATTTTCTAGTAATTCATAGTAATCCAGCCTTTAGTATTTTAAAGTAATATTTAAAAATAATATAGCTTACTTCTGTGCTATTTTATTTTATTTCACATTTTTGTATCTTTCATGTCATCAACAATTTATTAGAGTTCTTTTCAGTAAAACATGTCCTATTGCATCTCATTCTTTATTTAGGAATAATTTTTATAGATTTATGTGATGTTAGTCGAATTCTTTTTTATAGTTTATAATTCTTCTTTCTTTGAAAAAAATTTAAAAAGCTTAGTTTAATAAAAGTTATTTTGAAACTCTCATTTTACTCCAAGCATTAAATATTAATGATTTACTATTGTGCTCTTTTTAAACTAACACGAAGGTAAAACCACCTCAGCTAATTAATTATCTGCAGCAGAAAAAAGCAGAAGGTTATACCATCATTGGTGTGGAACAAACTGCCAGAAGTTTAGACTTAACTCAATACTGCTTTCCTGAGAAATCTCTCCTCTTATTGGGGTAAGAAAATTATTTTCTCCATGTTATATTCTCTGAGTTCCTAGTTTAGAAAATTTTACCTATTTTATAATTTACCTAGATTCTTGATATTATATATCTCCTCTTTTCTCTAATTTGTAACATATATGGAAAGCCTTCCTAGTTTTTGTTTTATTTCATCTTTATCAGATGGTTAGGTGAACACAGAAGTGAACCATAATTTGTTTTGTTACACAGTCTTATTTCTTGGTACCACAGATTTGTTTAATTTTGTTAAACTGTCTATTCTAACAACATTGAGAATACCTAAGGGGAAACTTGGATATTACAAGGAAATCAACCTTTTCCTCTCATTTTCCTTCACCAGAAATGAACGTGAAGGAATTCCAGCAAATCTGATCCAGCAATTGGATGTTTGTGTGGAAATACCTCAACAAGGCATTATCCGCTCGCTTAACGTCCATGTCAGCGGAGCTCTACTTATCTGGGAATACACAAGGCAGCAGCTGCTCCAGCACTGAGACAAGAGTGTTTGTGCCTTACCAGAGATAAATTGTTGGTGCTATTGAAACAGTTTTTTCTTTTCTTTTTTTTTTTTTGATTTCTTTAAACTGTTTGGACAAATGAGATAGATTCTGAAAGCTCACTAGAATAATTTTTTTTTCAATTTAATGCCAAAAGTTTTCCTGTGCCTTAAATATATTACTGTATTTCCTAAATATACCTAAATAAACACTTTTAGTTAAATTATATTTCTTTTTTTAATAAAATCTTTTAAGAAATCATGTAAATAAAACAGTATATGTAAAAAGTTGTAACTGTATTTAAAAGAAGCTACAACTTCTTTGTTAGAAACTAGTATCATTAGAGATGTGAATAATGATAAAAGTGAGGCAGAATTAAAGCAGCTGTTATCTAGAAACACTCATACTCTTAAGTTCATAAGGAACCATGCTGAGGTTGAGGTAAAGGTTCAGAATGAAGGGGTTATCAACCTATTTTTTCTGCTTTATATGTACTTATTCCCACTGAACATACATATACTTGGCAGGATGCTCAGTCAGCTACCCCATAAAGTTCATCATGCTTTATGTACAATTCAGGTTTTATTTGTTAAAGATAGGAAGTTGGCCGTAATTATTCATATCAACTTTTCATGAAATTTTTCATATAAAACCTTTGCTCTAAGAGTTCAAGTAATGGTTAGAAATAAATCATTTTGTTAGAGTATGATATAAATTTGATCCTATAAAAATGAACCCAAAGCAGTTGAATTGCTCTTGCATATCTGTACAGAGTGAGAATGAAACCCATGAATTCTGATTTCTTGCTTTTAGTCAGATTCTTGATCTTATCTTTTATGACTTTGAAAAAAATTTGTAAAAGAATAATTTTTTTGTTGTTGAGCATATACACAGCAGAACACATACCAATTCAAGTTTTACATGTACACTTTAGTGACAGTGATTACTTCTTTGAGTTGTTTAACCATCCTTACTCTCCTTTTCCATGTTGTTCTTTCCCCATTGATATAAAATCACTGCCCCTAAGTTTCCTATGTAATCTTGAGTTGCTGTTGTCAGTTCCCATATTTAAAAAAAAAAAAAAAAAAACCCACTGCCATCGAGTATCGAGTCCATTCTAATTCATAATGACCCTAGAGGACAGAGTAGAACTGCTCCACAGGGTTTCCAAGGCTATAAATCTTTACAAAAGCAGACTGCCTCATCTTTCTCCCAAGGAGTGGCCAGTGGATTTGAACTGCTGACCTTTTGGTTAGCAGCTAAATGTTTTACCCACTATACTGCCAGAGCTCCTTTTTAATCCCATATAGATAAATCTTAAAACAGCACGATGCTCAACACAGACATTCTTTACTTGTTAAACAAAGTTAAACTATTGTTTGGAGCCCTGGTAGCATAGTGCCTAAGGCACTTGACTGCTAACCAGGAGGCTGGAGGTTCAAACCCACCAGCCACTCCTCAGAAGGAAGGTTGGGCAATCCTACTTCCGTAGTGATAACTGCCTCGGAAACCCAAGAAGGGGTCGCTAGGAGTCGGGGCCGACTCGATGGCAAATAGCAATTGTTTGGTTTTAAGAAGACTTCAGGGAATATATTTGGTTTAAGGATTAAGGTTTAAAGTTTATCTCAGGGCAATAATTTCAGGGGTCTGTCCAGCCTCTGTAGCTCCAGAAAGTCCATGAGAATTTTAAATTCTTTTCTACATTTTCTCCCTTTTGCTCAGTATTCTACTATACAGTCTTTGATCATAATACTCAGTAGTTGTAGCCGGGCACCACCCACTTTTTCTAGTCTCATGGCCAAACAAGCAGTTTTTCATGGAGGCAATTAGGCAAATGTATGACCTCACTGTAAAAAAAGAGAACAGACAAATTAGAGACCAAAGTTTATAAATAGTTAACCAGGGGTGGGAGGGAGAGGAAAAGAAGGGTTATGGTGATAGAAAAGTTGCATTAAGGGTAGAGTTGCACAGCCAATTAATTGCTATCAATTAGTACACCTGTAAGTTGAATTGGCAAAAAGTTGTGACAGATATATTTATAATGATGACCGAAAAAACAGTAACTCCTGAGGCTGCTTGTTAATGAAGCAAAATGCATTTAAGATTATCCATGTTCTTGCATGACTCCTGTGTGCCATTGAGTTGGACCCGACTCATAGCAACCCCTCCTTGGGTTTCCGAGGCAGTATCACAATGGAAGTAGATTGCCCCATCTTCCTTCCGAGGAGTGGCTGGTGGGTTTCAACTGCCAGTCTTCTGGTTAGCAGTCAAGTGCCTTAGCCACTATGCTACCAGAGCTCCCTGAGGCTGCTTATGTATAGCCAAACACCTCATGGGATTTGGTCTGTTGCTTTGGTGGTTTAGGATTATGGTTTCATGGGACATCCTAGTTACTTGGCCTAATAACATGTTTAGTGCTTCTTTTCTACCTCCTAGTTCCTTGCACAGTGCCGGGATCTTAAAAGCTTGTAAGTGGCTATCCAGGGCACAACAATTGGTATCTATTTGCCTGGATCAACAAAGGAGAGTCAGGTATAGGAGGAAATGTAATGTGTGACTGACATTTTTAGTGTTCTGGTTAGCTACCTTGTAACTGTCTCTTCATTTGTGTTTAACGTATTTTTATGTCAATAATGTGTGCATGATATGGTTTTTGCAAACCATACAACCCACTCACACATAAGCTTCATATGCACGCTATGCATGTTATGTGTACATTATATGTATGGGTGCATTATATGCCAGAAAATATGGTAGTCTGAGATTATGAGTTTTTAGGAATAATACTACAGAGATGAAGTGCCCTTTTCAACACATACTAGAATGTACCCTTGTTATTACTTCAATCATTTGGTTAAGGTAGTGTTTGCCAGGTTCTTTGGAAAGTTACTGTTTTTCTTTTCTACAATAGATTTGTTAGAAATATGTCATTAAGTCCTGCCTGCACTCAAAGGTAGGGAAAATAAGCTACACCTCTTAAAGGGAAGGAGTAGCAAAGAATTTGTGTGCCTGTTAAAAACACATTAATTAATAAATATTTGGGAGGAGATAATTATAGGCTATGCAAATATCCTGTTTCTCCTTAACTGGCCCACTGCTTCTGTTCCCTCAGTGGTCAGAGCTATGAAATATTTGTAACCTAGCCCATGTATAGGAGCCCTGGTGGTGTAGTGTCTAAGGCACTTGACTGCTAACCAAAAAGCTGGCAGTTCAAACCCACCAGCCACTCCTAGGAAGGAAGGAAAGCAGTGATATCACCTCAGAAACCTTAGGATAGGTTGCTATGATTTGGGTCCAATTCGACGGCACATAACAACTACAGCAGCCCACGTATACACATGTATCTATATATTTCTGTATATGCTGTTATATAAAAACTATTGCCATTGGAGTCAATTCTGACTCATTAATGGTATGTTAAACATGAGCTCTGATTCATCTTTTACGTATTTGTGACTGTTTTTGATAGTGAAAAACCTTGTTCTTACTCACTACAATAGATTTGCTTATTTGTAAAACAATAGAGTACATGTAATCAGAATCATGAAAGCATATCCCTGTGATAAAAATTTACCAACTTGTATGCACTTCTTTTTGCCTTTAGCTTTAGAGGATCCAGTCAAACAGTTTTCCCAAATTATTTAGGTCAGCACCTTTCTTACTCCTTTCACTGAGCTTAAGTCATACATATTTATACTATAAATTCATTTTTCACAATCTACATCCCATATTGGAAGAATCTTCCAATATCTTGGTTTTTTCAGTGTATAAAAGTACCTCTTTATAGTCCACAATCCTGTGAGCTTTGACAAATACATACTCTTGGATCCACCAATCCTATATGTAGAAAATACATACAGAAATTTCATCAATCGAAAAAATTCCTTTCCACAGCTCTTTTGTAGTCAACCCCTTTTTTCATCCCCAACTGCTGTCAACTACTGATTATCAACTACTGATTTTTGTTTCATGCTGTTAATGAAGCGAAATGCATTTAAGATTATCCATGTTCTTGCATGAATCAGAATTTTATTTTTTTGCTGAGTGGTATTTCATTGTAGATATATTACAGTTTATTCATTCCTCTGTTGAAGGGCATTTGGGTGGTTTTTAGTTTTGCCTTTTATGAATAAAGCTGCTATAAACATTCATATACAAGTTTTTATATGAACACCAAGTTTTCAGTTCATTTGGTGGAGCACCTAGGAGTCAGACTTCTGGTGTATTTGTTTAATTCTGTAATTTCTTTTTTTTTTCCACCAATTTCTTTTTTTTTTTTAAATTGTGATTTGCGTGAAGATTTACAGAGCAAATTCACTTTCCATATAGCAGTTCACATACACTTTCTCTCATGACATTGACCACAGTTTACCACAATGCAATAGCTCCCCTCCTACTTCCTCCTCATAGTTACCTCTTCCCAGTGTCCATCCCTCCATGGACTCCTGTCCCCTAAGCTGTCTCCCTGTGCATAGGCAGCCCTTCTTTCTCCTATGATTGTTCTCTCCAAGGAGTGTATCTACCTCAGGTAAATGTTCAACTTATATGCCTGTCTTCTGTTTGGCTGGAAACCACAGGTGTGGGTTCAAT